CAGTGGTCCAATGTGACAATATTGGTCTCCCTCGAATACAGCAACTGCTATTTTTTTGGTCTTTTGTGTATAAATACTTTATCTTTTGGATAAAATGTCTGGTAAAATTGCTAAAACCTGAATCAAGCTAGTTTTATTTTTGTTTATATAATACAAAGCATCCTTAAATACTGATCACATGATGAAATACAACCAAAAATGAAAAGTCCTAATGAAGGTTTCAAGTCTTGGTATGTTAAAGAAAGAAACAAATAAATCTCAGAAAGCCAGACTAGAAACCACAAAGTAACACAGACAGCCACATACTCCAAACAAGGCTAAAGTTAGTAAAGGAAAATATAGCAACCCAAAGCCAGTAACATCATAACCCTTAATAGCCTACAGAATTAGACACTCCATCTACACAAACAGATCTGAGTTCTTCGGATCACCCCACATGCAGACTGACACTAAAGATTTTATTTTATAAAATAAAAAAAAAGTTCAAAGACCTTTTAGTCTACAAAAGATACTAGTGTTTGATGTCTTTGGGTCCAAATTAGAGTGGAGGACAAGAAAAAAAAGTGTTAGGGTATATTTTAAGGTTTCTTATTACTACCAAAGGGAGAGATAGTCAAGGCAAAGTGCCAAGGTTACAATAACAACCACCAAAAAAAATACAGAAATTGGAAGCCACTTTAAAAAAAAAAAACAAAGACCAAAAACTCTACAAGCAATAGTACTCTTTGTCTTAACCAATAGAATGCTGCATCATCCAAGTGAAAAAAGGCAGGTACCTAACCCCTTTTGTAGAGCTTTATCGGTTTTCACTAATATACTTCATTTCTCAGTCATATTTATAAGCCCTCATTTGTAGAGATTCTTAACCTGTTTTTGTGCCAAGAATCCCTTTGGCAGTCTGGTTAAGCCTACTGACCCCTTCTCAGACAAATGTTTTTAAACACATAAAATGAAATACAAAGCATTACAAACAAAATTAGTTATACTTAATTATCAAAATAGGCTTAAACTGGGATACAATCATACATGTACTTCTGTATCAGTGCATTAAATAACAAATCTAGCCGGTCTTTCTGTTGCCTCCATGCATAATTGAGTAAAAAGCTAACTTTCAGTTTGAGTATCATGAAAACAAAGGGGTATTTTATTTCCATATCCAAGTTCAAGAACTTCCTGAATTCTATCTGTGGACCTAGGTTGAGAACCCTTGCTCAAGAGAGCCAATAAAAACAGATTTTGCGAAGCATCAAATGAAAAATAAAGCCTTGCAAAATGTATTATCCATTCAACTGTGAGGTGAGAGGAACTGAGAGAAAGCAACACCTCTCCAAAAACCATGATGGGCCATTTAGTCAGCAAGGGGGCCACATGCTTCAAAATGAATCCAGAAAGGGTGCTTTGAGGAACAGACAGCACTGCTGGATCTGCCCTAAAGTGAGGAAACAGTGAACCCAGAATAGAATGACACAGCTCAGCCCAAATCAACCATGAACTTGAACACATCTCCTTCCTTCCAGGAGCCTCCACTTCTTCATGGATAAAATCCACGGGGGGGACATGTACCCGGTCCTCTTAGGCCCCTCACAGTCCTAAATCATCAGACTATCTCCTTCTTATGCTGGTTATTTTAGCCTAATTAGCTTAATTTCAAAATAAGAAAGGCAATGACCTTTCTTAAACTTGGAACAGAAAGTTTTACCCAATTTGAATACTCTCATGTACATACATCCTAACACCAATGAGTCAAATATATGTATACCATTACAACTTTAAAAGTCTGTTTTGTGCATATCTACTTCATAAAAAGCAATCATAGCATTGGTCTTTTCTGCTATTAAAACACAGGATGTGTTCCTGTTTGAATTTTAGCACCATCGCTTTAAGAATACACGATATCAACAAATATCAGGGTACTTAAAATATGTTACTTAACCATATGTTTTCCACATTTGTGTCAATGAACAGAATTACAGAGCACAGACAAGGAAGGGCCCTTGAAGATTACCTAATCTAATCATATTTTGTTATTGCTAAAGAAACTGGAAGAGGAGGAAGAACACAGCCAAAATCACAAAGCCAGTAGACAAAAGAGCAGGACTTAAATCCAGGTCCCCTAAGTATAAAATTCATGCTCTTCCCACTACACTGAACTGCCTCTCAAACCCTGAGCAACTTCCCCAACTTTAAAATGTTAGCCAAGTTTAAAATTAATAGCAAAAAAAGACCTGATAGCTAGACCTGTCATTTTTTCTATCTTTGGCACAGCAAAGAGTTGTGGCTATGATACGATAACTGGTTGGAATCGCGAAATAATTAAATTCCACCAATCTGCCCAGAAAGTGATGAGCCCACTAAAATCCTAATTATGTGGCATTCTCTTAATAATACTGTGTAACAAAAGAAAAGACGTAGAAGTATTTCGTACATGAATATAGACATCTATCAGCTCTTCAGTCTGCTCTCCAGGATTTCCTAGTAATGTTTTATCATGAAATTCAAAACAGAACAAAAAGGAGTCACACAACAACTTTTAAAAAAAGCATTATATTTTACAAGCAAAAGCTTCTATCAGTATGAAACACTGGGCATTTTTAGACCTCAAGAATAATTTCATCAATAAGAAAATGTACTATAAATTCCCTATTTACCAATATTTATGTCCCAGAGGACCAGACATGCAAAGCTGATATTAATTTTTATTTGAATGTTATTCTTTTAAGAGGGAAGGCACTGTCTCAAGTTCTAAGAGTGGGAAATGAATTAAAAAGGATTTCTTTAAAAATATACCTACTATTTCACTGCACTTCCAATGTGTTCAACACTGCTAAAGTCAAAAACCTACTCTCAAAAAAAGAAAAATACTACAATTCAAGTATTCAAAATCCAGACTAGCATCCTCTGCTCACATTTCACTTCTTCAGGGAGAACTTAACTTCCCTGACATTTTAGCTGAGGAAAGCAATACCCACCTAAAGCAGTCATTCTTTAAGTTTAGCAACTTCTGTTTAGAACTTGGCAACACCTGAAATTGTCATTTATTATCCATTTGTTTACACAATTCTGTGTATGCATGTCACTCCACATGGAAATGAAAGGTCCTTGTTCTCTGCTGGATCCCCAATGCCTAAACAGTGCTGGCACATAGTGGGTGCACGAATAACTGCTGAGTGTCTGGCTCAAAATATTAGGTAAGTGCCAACTATGTCATTACCAAGGGCAGAGCACATGCCAATTGGCAATGCATTTCCACAGCCTCCTGAGAAGTAAGCCCATGATACTAGGACAATCCAGGGTATAAATCCTTTCCGTGGCTTTGGAATGCCCTGCACTTCCAGCTATGAACACAAAACCTCTCCAGGCCCACTCACGCACTGCTTTTCTGAAACATCTCAACAATGATTTCCTGAAAAGGAAATAATGAGATAAACTTCTGGCATAAGTTACAGTTCCGTGTCAAGCTCACAGCGTTAAACACACTTTGAAGCCAGCCACACAAACAAAACCAGACTCCACAAAATGAGGTTGGGCTGAAGCTACATAAGACAGACTAAATAAACTGTGGCTTTTTTCCTGTCATTCTTCCCTCCTTCTAGAGAACCCTGACATTTGTCTTTTAACTGCAATTAAGATGCAGGTGAGACAAACGCTTGTCTGCAAACAGCTTCAAAATAAGTGAGGAGATTTCCAATACTATCCTACTTAACACACTAGCAACAAGGTGAGGAAGACTAGGAAACTTTGAGTTATACTGTGTCTAAAAGCTTCTCTTAAAAAACTCTCTTTAAGATTATTTTTAAGTCGGCACTTACTTCAAGGTACTCAGCTATCGAAACACATTTGTCAAAGTTCCCCGAGTCCTTCCATACTCGTGACTCCTCCTGTGTGTGCTAAGCCCACCTATCAGCACCAACGATGTTCTGAATACAGGTCTTTCAACACAGAAGGACAAAAGCGCGGGTTCCCAGGAGCGACACGTCCAAAGGAAAAAAATAATCCTTTCTCCTCCAACACCAAACCCAACTTGCTCCTTCCCCCAGTTTCCTGCACTTTCCCCCTCCCCCTTCCACTCCCCTTTCACTGCCCACTTTATCCTGCTCTAATCCCGCGAAGCCTCTCTCCCGGCTTATTAAGGGTAAACAATAGAAATGTCACAAGGAAACTCAGGAAGTAGATGAAGTCTCTAATTGCTCCCGTTTAACGATTGTAGATAATTACTATCTTCAAAATGTGGTTTTCACCAGCGGAGAGGGAGCCGAGGCGGGCGAGGCTGGCGAACACCCCGCCACCCGGGGGACATCTGCGCGGCCGAGGACCGAGGGACCGAGGGGCTGCGGCCTGCGCCCGGGTGCCAGGCCCAGCGCAGCCGCATCCCTGCCCCTCCCCTCCAGGACGCTCCCGGCCGGGAGAAGCTAAGGGCCGGCCAGCCCGCCTGGGTCACAGACAGTTCACTGCCCTCCGGCTGCGGCTGCCCGCGGCGGTCATCGCAACAGTATGCGAAGCGCAGTCGGTGGATTGCACGGCCGGCGGCAGCCCGAGCCCGCAGCGCCGCGCTCGGAGTTCTGGGGCCCGGGCCCGGGGTCTCCGGGGGTCGGGGTGCGCCCGGGGGTCGGCCAGTCTCTGGCTTCGGGAAGCCACCTCGCGAGGTGCCTGTTACGGCGGCGCCTCACCCCGGGGTCCTGCCCGCCCTCCCCGGCCTGGGCGCCGTCCGGACCCGGCGCGGGAAGTCGAGCTCCTGCCCCCCGCGGTACGGACCCAGTGCCCGAGCGCTGCGCCCCGCGGGTTCGCCAGAGTCCCCGCCGCCACTTCCTCGGCCGAGTCCTCCGCGCGGAGAGCGCAGTCTGGCGCCAGCCGCAACGCCCCGAGCGCGCGCTGATGGGGAGCAACGGCCCCCGCGGCCGGCAGTCCCCAGCGCTCGCCCAAGCCGCCCCCGCCGGCCCCGCTCAAGGATGCGGACGCCCGCCAACCGCCCCGCTGCCGGGGCCAGAGATCGCGGCACTCACCCCAGTACCACCAGCTCCCCGTATTTCACCGGCTCCTTATTGGGGGCGCAGTGTTCCTCCTGGCCGGGGGAAAACATGGAGCCCCGCTCGGCTGCCGCCGCCGCCTCCGCCGTGATCCCCGCCGAATCCGCGCCGCCGCTACAATCCCATCCCGAGAAGGGAGTGAGCGCGCCGGGGAAGGGCACCGCGGCGAAGGGGGCGCGGGGCGGCCAGTCCCGCGGTTGCTCCGTCGTGGCTGCGGGACTGCCCCGCCTGGCTCTCCGGAGCTCCGCGCGTCGCGGCCGCCCCGAGCCAGACCCGGCAACAAATGGGACGGGGCAGCAGGAGGACCTGCCCGCGCCGAGCGCCGCCGCCGCCACTGCCGCCGCCGCCGGAGCCCCGCGGGAGGGAGGGCGGGAGGGAGC